AAAATTCACATTGAAATATCCCTATGGTTCACACGAGGAAATTCAGTAAAACTGTGACATTAAATGTAGCTATGTGATACATGGGGTTCCAACACATCAGAAACTATGCCACATTTGGCCAGATATTGTGATGAATGTGAGAAGGGGCAGAAGAAAGAGGGGAAAACAAACTAGAAATAAAAAGTAGAATTACAACAAATTCATTTTTGAAAATAATTTGTGCTTCTTTATGTTATGTATTTTTACTGATGGATTTCCACAACCTTTCCATATTTCCATAAATTGTTAACAATGAGCAATGTACTTACTTAGAATCCCATTTACTTTGAACTTATCCAGGACTGTCTTCCCATCTGGCACCTTCCCGTGCTTCCCAAAGGCCACAGCATTTCGGCACTCCTCTGCAGTAAAAAACTCATCAAAAAGAAGATGGAACAATCTGAGGCAGTCCTTCTTTGCTTCTGCATGTATTGCAGCCAGGCAGGTAGAAGACACGAATAGGCCACTTTCTGCATACAGCTCTTGCTTCCCAGATCTGTGTTTTGGAGGCCCAAAAAACCATCAGCCTGAGTTGGAATCTGTTCCACTTGTTCAGAAAGCTTTAAGCCTCGAGGTCTCTACGCCACCTGTGACAAACCAAATATGAATAACCATACAGGACACAGCAGCAAATACAACTAAAAAAAAAGAAGACAAGTTTAAAAAAAAATTTCATGATGGGCGTAAGATTTTTACCCAGTTGTTTAAAAGCTTTTAAGTTTTTAGTTTGAGTTTAAATTGGTACATTAGAAATTGTAGAGAAAAAAGTAAAAAATAGTGTTAAAGGAACAATTAACTGAACAGAGAGACAAAATGTACTTAGCTAACCGCACAGCACATCCTCAGTTTGGCTCCCCTCCTCCCACCCTAATTTTTCCCACCCTATGCCTTGCATGCCCCTGCATTGGCTCCAGATCTGTCCCTTCTCTTGAATCAACAAACTGAAAATTGGCCCTTCCCCCAGATTCTGGAATTGACACGCTCGATTATAAAGTATCCTGCAGATACGACTTGAAGAAGTTCAACTGTCAGCTACTAGGCTGCCTAGGTCCCCAAAGAACAGCCAGGTTTTTGTTTTCTAGACTGTACAACAATTTGAAAGCTCTTTGGTGTACAGTCAAGCCTGGTGATGTCCCTTTTGATCCAAATCCACCCAAAAACAGGTTGTCGGGACCCAGCGTCTGAGAAGTGCAGGCCTTGAATAAGGTATGCTTGAATCTGTGAAGGTCGCAACAGATTCGTGAGCCAGTAGCACACAAAGAGACATGCGGAGAGTATCTCAACAAACACTTGATAGCAACACGACAGCCTCCAAGAGCCCACAGGCACAAGGCGGGATGGCCCTAACAACAGGATGACGTAAACATCCGAATCAGATGACTATGGAAAAGGCCCCTCATGGACAACCATGAAATAAACTACCACGTGCTCACCCTCCACCAGGCCAGTGCCCAATGCCATCAAGCACAGCGTACATAAAGAATGAGCTCGCAAGGAAAAGGAGATGAGAGCTACAAACATGAGAGCGAGCCCACAGAGCGTAAGTTCCAAAGAGGCTGACAAGACATGCGAGTACCACAAGTAGTAGACTGATATCAGCAGAAGATAGAGCAACTGAAACGTTCTGACGAATCTCTCTACAAGCTGCATCACTCACTAATTATATTTCATCATGTCATATATTATATCGTGGCCACCTATCACTTGGCATCACACTGTCATAGCGATTATATCCCAATCTACCTAGCAACGAATGCCCGCACACTGTATCACAGCATGTAAGAACTTGATTACGGACCAATATATACTTATGCCAAAGAAACACACATACATTCCCCATAGACATGTCAGATCCATCTCAAAAGCTACGAGCGGTGGGAATAAAAGACCTTTGGCATTGTAATAATTGATCATGATCCACCAAACCCCCATATTCCACAAAAAAATCTTTGCCAACAGAGTGTATCACCTCCCCCTATCCAAGAGAGCCACAAAAAATATACCATTAACCATAAGTCACCTGAAAATCCCAGAACCAAACCAGTCACAGATAAATGGCCAGAACTACACTAGTATCACGACCACAGTACAGGCTAAAAAATCAATCTTACCTACACACACAGACATAAATAAATACACAATACAAAAAAAAGGAAACAATCTAATCATCCTCTCAATTCTAAATTCCCCTCCATCCTAGACCTAATTATCTACGCAAGATACACAACCATTACCATCCTTTCGCACATATTCAACTCAACAGACACTACCTATGAACCTTGACTTCAACTTTCTTCTAGTATATAGCATTTAAGCAATTCAACCACCTTCACAACAATCACGAATAACGCGAACCTACAGTCTAAACACGATAAACAACAACAAGAAAAGGAAAAGAACCAGTAACTTGATTGAATCATGCACTCCGGAAATCGATCTTCACCTTGTTTTATTCTATTTCATTAATTTACATGATTATCGTATCATTAGTATCAACAAGACGCAGAGACTGTCAACAGATTGCGTTATTATAAGGTACTCAAACGTAAGTAGAAAATTGACAATCACCGCCAAAAAAATTAGCTAAACCCAGTAGGTGAAATAAAACCTCAATACCATCTGGGTCATCTTTGGATGCCCGGGTCTGGTTCAGTAAAAACACATCTTCTTACGGTGGGTATCGCGCTCTTTGGCACCTCTTTTTTGGGCATCTCTTTTTTGGTATTTCCTGCTGGGCCATCCATTCTGTTAAATGCATAAAAGTACAATACATTTTAATTATTTAAAAAGGTGGTTCAATGTCTTATTTAGTTTTATCATGTCATTATATCTCATAATTTGGTACAGCAACTTGTTGAAACATTTGGATACAGAGATGTGTTACTGTAACCATATCAGACAACTCAGGAACTGAAAAACATGCTCTTTAAGAGAATATATCCTCTTAAATTTCAACACATAACAATTTTGGCCACAGCAAGCACTTTAAATATGCATGAGGCTCCAATGCAAATATCTTAATTGCCAAAAATCATACTTTTATGATTTGATCACCAAATCAGACTTGCTGTCTTGTTTGCTAATTATATATATATATATAATAAAACATTATTAACCACCCACAGAAATCTGAAGAATTAACACATGAATAAGTATATAAAATTATGTTTAAGTCATGAAACAATAAGCAGTATGATCTGCTCTGAAACGCTGGAGGTGTGTGCTGGAGATACTGAACTCTGTCCAGCTGCCTGCAGAACTCCCTTATAAACATACACTATTTACAACAAACCTTGTTTAGAGCAGTCTTGGGATAAACAACATGGATAATACTGAAAAAATAACATTCATTAGCCACTTCAATGTAATTTGGCACATATTTTGTAGGTAAATGTGGACTCATTTCGGTAACAATGTAACTTAAATGACCAGCTAGCAGGCGATCCATCACAATCATCGTTGTGTTAATTTGAAGGTTTTTTCAATGGAGTTCAGTATTATTTTACTCACTTCACTGTTTGTGAAAAAAAAAAAAATCCCAAAGTGCATATTCTTTACATAAAGATATTACCGCAATAAGTGACCAGTTAACGCTAGCTAATCATAACAAGTTCATTGCCACATGTGGTCAGGACCTATAGCCTCACTAGCTAGCTTCACTATTTGCCACATATGCCGACCAGTTTCTTCAAAAAAAGTATCTGAACCAACATAAACGCTCGCCATTTAAATTTTTACAAAGTTTTACCCAAATTACGCTTGACAAAGATGTCGCTTACTTTTTTTTACGTCCCGTAACGGTTCCTTCTTCCTCCATCTCTCCTGCCCGCACTCCAACCGTTAACGTAAGACGTCAGTCAGACCTGTGTCAATTGCTGGGTTTCAGTCACGTGATTATGATGACGCGGGAAGGCGGCGCGATTTCAGATGGAGGGCAGGAAGTAAAAAATGGAGAATACGTCTATGGAGGAAA